AGGAAAAAAAAAATACAGACAGGGCGTTGCATAGACTGTTGAATGGCATGACAGCATCTCTGGTTGAAAGGCATTTGTATTCTTATTAGGAGGTCTGATTACATGGTTCTCAAATTTCCCCTTAAGCCTCCTGAGATGTGTGTGAGGTGCAACCTTATAAACTGTCAGCACATAGAAAGCTAAGATTTGGAGAGTGGTTTCCATTGTGCATCCTATCAAATGTGTCCCATGAGCAAGATTAGTATCAATCACAGGCTTATTGGAGAGGGAGATGGGACCCAATGATAACCTGGCACTATCAACTAGAGTAAGGGTCTAAGAAGAAAAAAGCAATCAGAGACAAGAAAGGAATATCTACAAAGAAAGACAGAAGTAGAAAATCAGAGTACAATGTATCACACTGATGAACAGGAGCTGTTATCCAGGAGAAAGGTGCATGTGAACAATGCAGGTTCTCACACAATGGATATTGCCTATTGCTTATCATGAGGAGGATGGAGGAGAGGGACTATCACATCCTGCAGCTTGACTGTAGATACGAGGGCACTGGGATGTAATGAAGGCATTACTACTCAGTCTCACCTCCACTACTTGAGAATCATTTGTTAATTTCAGAGATGTCTAAAAGAGAAGCTGGTACTCCCGTTGCTCAGGGAGCTGCACCACTTTGAGTCCATCGCCATCACCCAATAAAAATTGGAAGCTCAACCACCTACCCCAGGACAGCTGAGATATGTGTTCTTCCACAATGGGATACCTTTCATAGGGTTTGGCCTTTTGGATAATGCAATTATGATTGTTGCAGGAACCCAGATTGAGTTGTCTATTGGAATTATTTTGGGAATTTCAATGATGGCAGCTGTTTCTTTGGGAAATCTTGTGTCAGATTCAGCTGGACTTGGTCTTGCAGGCTATGCTGAAGCTTTGGCTTCCAGGTTAGGCTTATCAATTCCTGATCTTACACCAAAGCAAGTTTACATGTGGCAGACACGTGGTGGTACACATTTGGGGCAAAGCTGTTCGAGTGACTGACTATTGGCTGCATTCTAGGAATGTTCCCTTTGATATTCTTTGGAGGGGGTGAAGAAGATGAAAAATTGGAAGAGAAAAGTTAGTCCTCTTAGAATACCTATAAAAAGATGTAAACTAATGTACCTCTGTTATTAAACATGCTGTCACAACATTTAAGAATTAAGACAGAAACCTTGTATAGATATGGGATCAAATAATTCAGCATGTATTACAGAAAATACTAACTTATTGTGATTTGGTCTTCTTAGAACATCTTTTTAAAAAAATTATTTAGTATTGTTTTGTGTTAACTTTTGAAATGCTTGTTCATCAATGGCAGTCCATATTTTATCTTTTCCTTCTCTTTCTTTATACATCAAAATACTAATTAAGTTTCAGTCATTGATATACTGTTCTGACTTGGGGTTTGCTTATTGTTACTTAACATGTCTACATGCATGAAACCATTTGTGTTGTTATTCCCTGATAGTTACAATTCAAACTTAAGATTTTCCCAAATTTCTTTATTTGGGTACAAAAAAAAAAAAAAGAAAGAATACAAGAAAAGCCCAGGTCTTGATGGCTTCACTGCTGAATTCTACAAGACATTGAAAGAACTATTGCCACTACTGTTTAAACTCTTCAATGAAGCTGAAAGGGAGGCAAGACTCCCAAATTCATTCCTGGAAGCAGGCATCACCTTGATCCCAAAAGCAGAGAAAGACCCAACCAACAAAGAGAACTGTAGGCCAATCTCACTAATGAACAGAAAGGGCAAAAATCCTCAAGAAGATACTGGCGAACAGAATCCAGAAGATCATCAGGAAGATCATACGCCCTGACCAAGTGGGATTCATCCCAGGGATGCAGGGATGGTTCAACATATGCAAATCCATAAATGTACTACACTATAGTAATAGAGCCAATGGCAAAAACCATGTGATTATCTCAATAGATGCAGAAAAAGCATTTGACAAAATCCAACACCATTCATAATAAAAACCCTACAGAAAATTGGAATCCATGGTCTCTATCTCAACCTGATAAAAGCCATCTATGAAAAACCAACAGTCATTATCATACTAAATGGTCAAAAGCTGAAATCCATCACACTAAAATCAGGAACAAGACAAGGATGTCCACTATCACCATTCCTGTTCAATATAGTATTGGAAACATTAGCCACAGCAATTAGAAGAGACAGAAAGAAAAGGAATAAAGATAGGAAACAAAGAAGTTAAATTGGCATTATTTGCAGATGACATGATACTCTATGTAGAAGACCCCAAGAACTCCAACAAAAGTCTCCTAGACTTGATAACCAAATTCAGTAGAGGAGCTGGATACAAGGTCAACACACAAAAATCAATAGCTTTTGGGCCGGGAGTTTAGCTCAGTGGTTCTGGCACCTGCCTCACAAGCACAAGGTCCCATGTTTGATCCCCGGTACAAAAAAAAAAAAAAAAAATCAATAGCTTTCCTGTACGTGAACAACAGATTCACTGAATGAGGTCCTGGAGAAACAACTCCTTTCACAGTAGAATCCCCCAAAAATGAAATACCTAGGAATTAACCTAACAAAGGTATTAACCTAACCAAAGAAATCAAAGAGAGGAGGGGATTTAGCTCAGTGGTGCCCTTGCCTGACTCACAAGCATAAGGTCCTAAGTTCGATCCCTGGTACAAAAAAAAAAAAATGAAAGGAAAAAAAGAAATCAAAGACCTCTACTCTGAAAACTATAGCACTTATTAACTGAAAGCTTTCAATCTAAACTCAGGAACAAGACAAAGATGGCCACTACCACCACTCTGGTTCAATACAGTTCTGGAAATATTAGCCAGAGCAATTCGACGAGAAAGAAATAAAAGGAATAAGGATAGGAAATGTAGAAGTTAAATTATCATTATTTGCAGATGACACGGTATTTATATACAAGACCTCAAAAATGTGGTTTTTTAAAAATAAAAATGGAGTACTACTCAGCCATAAAGAATGAGAAACTAGAGACATTTATAGCTAAATGGATGCACATTGAGGCAATACTCTTAAGTGAAATAAATAGGACACACATGTGTAAATATCAAAGTTTCTCTAGTGTGAGAAACTGAAAGTGTAAATAAGGACTAAAAAGTATAATAGATAATGTGAAATAGGAAGAAAAGGGGCAAAGTGGAAGGGGAAGTGTGAGGGGTAGGGGAAAAGAAGGCAATGGAATATGAGAAAAAAAATGGAAACAAAGTCTTTGTAGATAGGGCTGGAGGGGTTAAAGAGAGGGCAGGGGAATGGGGAAAAAATAAAAACCAAGATGGATTATGTAAAGGTGCAAATTTCCAATGATGATGTCACTATATTGTATACCTTAAATGTACCAATAAAATTAATTTTTAAAAAATCCATCCTCATCGACAAATGCACAGGCACCCCATCAGAACCAATATCAACAGGGCTTCAACTGACAGTCTTCCAATTTCAGTAGAGAAATGGCTCCCCCTACTGAGCTTCTGAAAAAATACCAGCTCTACAAGCACCACTCTAACACAAACTGCGTTCTGTTTTCCAATATTTGTGTAGTCAGGCATTAACAGCACAATCTATGACGAGGACCAAGGCTTGAGAGGGTAGCAGGCTGCCCAGGGTCTTGCCAGGGCAGCCTCTTTGTGTCTCGTATCAGGCCTACGCTGAGGGTCATTGTCCTACCGGGATTTCCACTCCATTCTTGCCAGCCAGCAGCCACTCCCAGCAGGCCAAGGCAGTCTCCATGCCATGCTCATTGAACATTCAGAGGGGACCCCAACACAGATGATGGAGAAGCTGGGGGTCACAATCTGGAATCAAAAACAGGTCATTCAGAGGCCTTTGACCCTGGCTGGACCCGAACACAGCTTCTGTGGGTTGATAAGACAGTCAGCTCCAGCTAGGGCCAACAATGGCCTTTTATTTACTTTCCACTTATAGATGCCACAGAGAACTCTATTTGGAGAGCACCATCTCCTTCTTCGGCCAGGATTCCAGTTTATTAAGAACCACTTTGGCAAACATTCACTTAGAAGCGATCCAGAATTTCACGGGGCTTATGTGCATTACCTTTGCTGCTAATGAGCATTGCAGTCAGCTTGAATATGGCCTGTGTATAGTGCTGAGAATTACTGTGGTCCAAAGCTGTATTCAGATCCTGCACCATCATTCTGTTCAGGTCAGACATCTGGCCTGTAGCACTTGAGAACCAAATCATTCTGTACACCTGCAAGAAGCAAACTCATCAGCTGCCAGGACCTGGTTGAGGACCTGACCATGCTCACAATAGAACCAGCAATGCCAGTGTGGGTGTTTGTGTTTGTGTGTGTGTGTGTGTGTGTGCGCGTGCGTGTGCACATGTGCATGCATGCACTGTGCCAGGGGTTGAACTCAGGACTTCATGCTAAACACATTTTACCACTGTAGCCCTCACAGATTTTTCTTTAAAAATTTCTCTTCTACAAATGCCTGTTAGCACCCCCACTACTGCAGATGTTCCTTGAGCATAGAGGACTTGTTCTCTCTATTTTTGTGGCCAGTGCTGTGCCCACGGTCTGACCCATACACAAACACATGGACTAGATAAGTAAAATTCCTCTAGACTCAATGATTCAAACAAGATCAGTTGCATTTTTTTTGTTTGAGATTCGAGGGACTAAACTCAGGGCCTCATGCATGCTAGGCAAGCACTTTATTGCTGAGCTGCCTCATTGTCTTTAAAGTCAGACATAATTATTTTCCCCAGAAAGTGTTTTCTGATTCATAAACTGTAAAGAAGATCTGACTCTTCCCCCACCCCCAACCCCAAGAAAATCTCTCTCTCAAATTCAGCCCTCCTGCCACCAGGGTATTCAAATCAACGTGCAACGGACTCTCAGCAATTCCCAGCATGTGGACAACAGTCACTCAGCAGAGCATGGATTCTACTTGCAGAGACTCCTGTGAAGAGCAACCATTGGAATAAACAAGAGGTAGTGTTTCAGGGGAGGGGAGCCCCCCTCAGATCAGGCTACTCACAAACTTTCATAGTTCCCAATGGTGTCAGTGAGTTTCTGTGGTTTGTGGATAAGGGAACTGAGGCCCAGAGAGGTGAAGTAACTGGTCAGGGTGAAATAAACTGTGGTGTGAGGGCAGGGGATTTGCTCAGTGGTTCCGCCACCTGCCTTGCAACCACAAGGACCCGAGTTCGATTTCCGGTACCAAAAAAAAAAAATACACCAATAAACTGCAGCTTGCTGGGTGAAAGCCTTCAAAGTGGAGCTGACAGAGGTTGTTCCTGCAGCTGTTCTGCCTGACTGTGGCAAGTTACTTAATTTCAGGAGCCTTAGTTTCTTTATCTGTAGAATCAGAATCATAGTATGCACATCTCAGCAAGTACCCAGGAGAATGCATGGCACTCAACAAGTGTTTGCTACTACTTAAAAAAAAAAACCAAAACCCAGAATTCCTCAGCATAGTCAGAACATGCATTTGTGAGGTACATGCTCCAAAATATGCCAATAGTGTTGGGGCTCCATGCTACTCAAGCCACCTAAAGTAAGTGAATTCCACATTGCCCAGACTCATTACTTATGTCCCACAAAAAAAGAGCCAAATGGCATCAAACCACGAGAATGCTCTAAACCTTGGACACTGGTGACAAAATTACCTCGCCTGCATAGCGGTTGTGCAAATTCAGGGAAGCCATGAAGTTGGAACAATCTTTTGTCACACAAGCCGGGCACTCAGTTAGCTGATTTGCCTACAGGGGAAAAAAAGAAAAAGACAATTATTGTAGACCGTCAAAAATCACTTTTTTTTTCATGACTACACAGAAGTCTAATTAAGAAGTCCAGATCAAGCTGGGTATGGTGGCACACACCTGTAATTCCAGCACTCTGATAAGCAGAAGGATCATGAATTCGAGCCCATGCTAGGCAACTTAAGAGATTTAGTGAGACCTTGTCTCAAAATAAAAACTAAAGAAAGGCTAGAGATGTAGCTTATCAATCTCCAGTACCAAAAAAAAAAAGAAGTGGAAGAAGGAGAAGATGACAAGTTCAGACCCAGGGGCTACTAAAATTGTTGTGCCAATAAGTTAATACAGTGAGATACTTTAGAATAGGTTCTAGAATCAGATATATCACACAAAGAAAGATCATTTTTAAATTCTAGATGTAGCCAGGATTCGTGATGCATGCCTATAATCCCAGCACTCCAGGAGATTGGGCCAGGAGGATTGCAGGTTCAAGCCTAGCATGGGAAACTTAGCAGCTTAGGAAGGCCCTGACTTAAGATAAAAGTTAAAAGTAGAAAAGGGCTAGAGATGTAGCTCAGTGCAAAGATTCTGGGCTCAATCCCCAGTACCAAAAAAAAAAAGAAAAGAAAAGAAAAGAAAAATGTTTTTTGATGTGGGAAATGCCTCCAGAAGGCAGTTGGTACTAAAGTTTTCTGAATGTGATGGCAAAAGGGTGACTGAAGGTGGGAGTAAAAGCTAGCAGGGCCCTTAAACATCCAACAGATGTCTGGAAAGGTGTGTCCCCTGAGCACAAAGGCAAACCACTCCCTCATATGTATCTTCTTGTAAGCCTCAGCCTCCCAGGCCCTCCCCAATTCTGGACCCAGGTGCTTAGCACCCTGGGCAGCTTCTCCTCCTAACCCCAGCTTTTCCTTGCTATCCCCTCTGTAGCTCCTGCTCAGCCAGTGGCACACATTTTTTCCTTTAGCATCATTTACTACAAATTGACACAACTCATGTTGAAATATCAACACTCCTAATAAAAGAGAAATTTCTCAAATGTTGGAGTTTGGAGGGACTTTTTTACTGGGGGAGTAGGCATAAAGTGGGTCAAAGGGGAAAATATACATTTGGGGGAAAAGCAAAACACAAGCAAGAACAAAATTACACGGCTCTTGTACAACAATATTAAACTAGCTTCTTTAAAAACAAAAAAAAGTCACATAGCTGGATGCGGTGTTGGCTAAGGCAGAACTGCAAGTTCTCGGGGCCAGCCTGGGCAATTTAATGAGACTGTATCAAAAAATAAAACGGGCTCAGTGGTACAGTATCCCTGGGTTCAAGATCCAATACTTCATTTCCGCATGTACACACACACACACACACACGTGTATATATATACACACACGCATGTGAGCACACAGGCACAAAGTCAGAAGTGTTTTACATTTTTTGCAGTGTGGCCTTTAGCATCATGCGGCGGGGGCAAGGATATAGTTCAGCGGTATAGCACCTACCTAGCATTAACCAGGCCTGCATTTGAACCTGGCTTGACAATGACCATCTGTGAGCCTGGAGAAGGCACTTAATGTCTCTCAACTTCACTGTGCTCCTCTGAAAACTGGGGATAAACCCAGGTATGATTACACCCTTCTATAATTCTAGCACTTTGGGAGGCTGAAGCAGGAGGATCCTGAGTTTGAGCCCAGCCTGGGGAGTATAACAACTTAGCAAGACCCTTTCTCAAAATAAATAAAAAAGGGCTGGGGATGTATGAAGGCCCTAGGTTCAATCCCCAGTACCAAAAAAGCAAAATAAGTGAGAATAACTGCCTCTCTCACGAAGCTGTCACGGGTAGGGTCAACGGAGTAAGATACACAAAGCCCCCAGAACAACAAATGGCATATGATGGGCCAAAGCGCAAGCCAGCTCTCTCCCTTCTAAAATTGCTCCCATGTACCCAGTATGCCCAATCTAAGTCAGCCAGAGGACAGCAGAGAAGACACCAAGAGGTGCTGCAGGAGGGTCTTGCTGAGGTTTCCTGATGCAGTGGTCCCATTAGGCTGATATCCTGCTGTTGAGACTGTCCTTCAAGAATGTTCTTCTCAAAGCATCATATGATGGGAGATGTCTCGAGGGTGCTGCACTCTCCAGTGCTTTCTATGGGGCGAAAGTATCTTAGGTTCTTGAGCACAACTAACAACTGGACACATAACTAAATGTATCTTTGTCTGTTTAGCATCAGAGAGGGTAAAACCTAACTTATATTTAACTTTTTGAGAACAAAGATTAAAATCTTTTAGGCAAAATAGATCTCTCACAAGTCAGCTGGCCTGATCCCAGAAAAGGAGTGTGTGTGTGTGTGTGTGTGTGTGTGTGTGTGTGTGTGTGTTTGTAATGGGATTGAACCCAGGGCCTCTGCACTGAGGTACATACATACGAGACCTTTTTGAACTTTTTTTGAGACAGGGTATTGCTAGGGTGCTACATATCCAAGCCAGGCTCAAACTTACTTAGGACCTTGCCTATCAGCCTGTGAGGACTGGCACTACAGGCATGTGCCACTATACCTGGCAAACTTCTCATCCTAATCACTCTTTGAAGGACTACTCTTTGTTATAAGCACCCTCAATCAAAATCTGTGAGTTCTCCTCTGGCCTGACTGTGTCCTCCAAGTGGCAAAGAGACCCACGTCAGGGCACTGACCCCACTGTGCCCTGTCAACACAGGAAGGTCTGAGTGCTGGCTGCACATGGCTCAGCTGGTCACATGTGCTGAGGCTGGTGTCTCTGGAGAAAGTCAGTGACCTTGAGGTGAGCACTCTACTGTGAATGAGGGCTGGAGACAAGTGTTTCCCCTGGCATTGCCTCAGGCCCTGCACAGAGTCCAGAGGGCACTCGGGCCTAGGCAAGGACTCCTCTCTTCCTGCTTGTGTCCCAGGGAAGTCCTGCCACCCTTCCTCCTGGGTGCTCAGTCTCGGTACCTCCCCATATAAAGCCCACACCCGATGCTGAGAAAGTCAAAGAGCACAAGTGCCCCGAAAACCCTGCTCCTGTTCAGATTAACCAAGTCCTGAGTGAGGGAGTGATGGGGGGGGGGGCTGGGGTTATTAAATGTCAAAACACAACACTGGCTGGCCAGTTTGATCACTGGATGTTAACTGTCTGCTCTGATTCGCATTTACTTTTCAGCTCTAATTTAACTCAGAAAACACTACATTGTGAATTGGTTCCCCCCTAAATTAATCTCAAGCAGAACAAGATGAAGCTGAAGTACATGTGCACAGTTCCACACCCCAGAACTATTAGGAAGTCTGGTGAATATTCCACATGAACATCGACTATGAAATGATGCTGTCCATGTCTAAAAGAGGTCAGTTTCTTTCCTTTTGGATACAGACACTCAAATCTAAATCTGACCTCATTAACAAATCAACTTTTGATCTCCATAAATCTACACATTAAAAATATAAGTATACTAAGGAAATGCCTGTTTTAATGGCTGCTGTTCTCCTCCTCCCCTCTCTCTCTCTTTCTCTTCCTCATCCTCTTCGTTTGTGGTACTAGGGACTGACAGGGTCTTTGAACTAAGTACATCCCCAGCCCTAACTTTATTTTTAATTTTGACCAGCTTCCTGCTAAGTCACTAAGTTGCCAAGGCTGGGCTGCCACCTCTTCATTCACCTGAGTGTCACCCAACTCCTGTCTGCCAACACACATCACACACACCCAACACATGTGTACAGAGGGGAATTTCACAACAAACTACACATAAACTCGAGTCCTTCTCTCACTCCTATAATGCTGCTCCCACAAATTAAGGGGGGGGACGTCACTGCTCTGCAGGAGGTTTGCACATACCCCGAGAGGAGAGTTGTGTTCTGCTTGTTGTATCCGGCAAATTGAAGGATGCTCTCAGTAGGCATGGCCAGCCCTGTGTGCTGGGACCATCCCGATACCCAGTTCTGATGTTTGTTCAGATTTCCTGAAACAGGAAGAAAACATGCTATTTCACTTAAAGGGAAAAATAAAGCTTTACAAAAAAGGCGTGGAGTAGCAGAGGAAGCACCAAGTTTCAATGCTGCCTCTGTACCTTACTCCTCAGCTGTGAGACAGTCAATATGGTCAATAAGGTCTATGACTGGGTGCTGCTTGCTCATCTATGAATGAGGACAAGGCCCAAGGCCCAGAGTGGCTGTCACATGGTTAAGAGGAGAGGATCACTCCTTTCTGAGAATCTACCACTTAACCTAGAGCTGTGTTGGCCACTTGGGACATAAGCTACAAGGCCTTGGTCCTGTGGACAGTGTGCAGCAGTGTGGGGTGGAGCCTGCATACAGGCCATGGTCACTGCTGCAGCACCCCTGCTGTCCAAGGCAGGCAAGACATCAGGAGCCCAGGACAAGCACCTGAACCACCCCCACCCCCCCGCCGGCTGGCCGGTGGAGGAGCCATTGGGACAAAGGGACACCTGGCTGAGCCCAGAAGTGGGAGGGAGGCCTCCTGATCTGGGACCACAGGAGTTCACACCACTAGAGCACCACCTATGGGAGCAGGGTTATGAAGCTGGGGGCTGGGAGACTATAGATCAACAGAAAATGACTCCCCACAGAAAAACACACATGAGCATACATATAAAACTAGGCCACAGGAAAACATTCATGGATCCCATGGTTATGGAGAGTGGCTAGTGATCAAGTTTAAAAGGAAGTGTATTGACCAGACACTATTAAAACTGAACCACTCTGTTAGGCATAGATGAGGGCAGACAGGAAGACTGAGGCTGGGAGGTGGGACTGAGCAGTGAGAGATCTGTGATCCTCAGAAGGGGTAGACTGCTGTGGAAAGGAGAAAGCAGGGATGGGGGTGGGGTGCCAAGGGTGGTGCCTGGGGGAAACATAGAGAGCATTTCAAGCTCTGTCATTTTCTACTTCTTTTCCAGGACAAAGTTACCTGAGAAAATGCTACAGAAAACAAAAAAGTCTTTCTACTGACTCTTTTTTGTCCACTAAACCTTTTAGGCATTAAAGGGCTCTTCCCCTCTCTAGACTACAGCTTACATGAAACAACAGCAATCAGATTATTTCCCAAATATTAATAGTTTGGAAAACTGCCAGAGTTTGAAGAATTCCAGTGTGCAAATGTGAAAACTACAAGGCATCAAATGGCTTACTTACCCAGCCTAGTGGCTCTGTCCAGCTTAATTAGCCTGTGGGTCTGTTCCACAGGGGGTCCACCTGGTCCACTCCCCCTTGCTGCTCAACCCCTTTGCAGAAGGAGGAAACTCACAGCAACCCCAGACGCAGGCCCCATGTTCTTGTACAATACATTTCCAAGCAGCCTCAAAAGCTCCTGGAGCTGGCTGCTCTACCCTTTCAGGATTCCATACCCAGAAACTATTTTTCTTTTCTTTTTCTTTTTTTCAGTTGGGATCTTGCTATGTTATGCAGGCTGGCCTCAAACTTGCAACCCTCTTATCTCAACCTCCCAAATACTTGTGATTACAGGCATGAGCTACCAGCCCCATACTCAAAAACATTTTGAACTGGCCTTGAAATGTGAGGTCAATTTCATAAGCTCCTCTCGACACACCTGCTCTTTGCTAACCTAGATTCCTACTAGTGGCATTTTTCTTTTCTTTGATCTGCCCCCCCCCAAACACTTTGTGTGGGGTACTAGGGATTGAACCCAGGGCCTTTCTACTGTCCTACATCCCTAGCCCTTTTAATAAAAGAGGGTCTCGATAAGTCAGTAAGTTACCCAACCTGGGTTTGAACTTGATCCTCCTGCCTCAACCTCCCAGAGGCTTAAAGGTGTGTGCCACCACACCCAGCTCTTTGACCCCTTTTAAGGTGACTCTTCAGTCTCATATACTGTGGCATTTTTGTTCTGTCTCTGTTTGACTGTCTACAACAATGGCTCACCTTTCAGTCATCCACATTTATAAGCCAGTACTTTTATCTGCGAAACACTCTTATGTACCTACTCATGCAGCCTACGTAGTCTTTTTCCAGGTAGAGCTTTACTGGGACACAAGTCCCTGGCTCTGCCTAAGGTGCATTCAATGCACTCAGCTCTTGGCACTGCTGCTGCCTTCCAGCGGCCTCTTCTGCCCACCACACAGGCCCCACTCATCTCACTAGGAGCCCCAAGTCCTGCCACAGACTCTGCACCTCATCTCATGTGAATGGTCAGGTCTAGGACTGCCTGCCCTGATGGCCGGCACACTCACCCATCAAGGTGCTCCTAACAGAGCACTACCTTGAATTGCTAGTACTGAGGGTCCAGTACTCTCAGGCTTTCCACTGATTGACGTTCTTGGTCTCTGTTTATTCATACTACTGCTGTTTGTATTTTGAGTTCACTGTGCCTGTGAAAAGCTCTCTGGACTGCTCAAAGGAGCTTAGCAAGATTGCCTACAGGTACCAATTCTCCACAATGAATGCAATCATTCTGTACTGCAAACATGTACTGATAAAAATTAAAAATCATAAACACACACGGATCACTTTTTGATGACTTCAAGGAAGTACCTGTAGGTGAGACTTGGTGACTGTAGGTGCCCACTTCATGGCCTCCTCCTGTAGGATCATTCCACAGTGTGCAGCAAAGTCCTTCACAATGCTCTGGAAGTGGGTGACGATGCTTTTTTTTTTGGTACTGGGGATCAAACTCAGGACCTTGCACTTGCAAGGCAGGCAGCAGGACCACTGGGCTAAATCCCTGGCCCTGACAATGCTTTTTAATAACCTGAAGTCAGCCTATCCAGGCTGTTGTAGTGACTGACATGGGCTGAATTGTTTCTTCCCCCCAAAACTATGTTCATAAAACCTTAACTCCCAGTACCTCAGAATAAAACTGCACTTGACGACAGAACTTTGAAAGAGGCGACTAAATGAAAAGGCCTTAGAATGGTCCCTAATCTAATCTGGTTGGTATCCTTATGTGAAGAGGAAATCTGAACACCCAGAAACACCAAGGATATGTTCCCACAGAGAGATCATGGAAGGACATACTAGAGTGAGACGATAGCCATGATGAGCAGCCACCTGTGTGGACACCTTGATCTCGGGACCTTCAGCCCTCACAACTGTGAGGAAATCATTTCCTATTTCTTAACCTACCCATTCTATGGTGCCTGGCTACAGCAGTCCTAATAATGATCATGTTCTAATACCAAGGCTCCAGGGGACAGAAAGTCACATACACTGTGGTCTTTAATTCTTGCACAAGGCTGTGTGGCAGGACCTATATCACAGGGCCACGCACAGTGCAACATGTCCCAGGTCAGTAACTAAAGGGAAGGCTGTTCCGGGTGCCAAATATCCTCACATCTGCCACATCACAGCACAAGAAAACTCCCCAATGACAGCTGGTCTGGATCCCATTCAGATTAACCAGCTGAGCTTTCTATGAATTTCTATGTCCTTCCCCCAGGCTGGAGGAGCACAGAGCTGAGCTGAGCTGAGCTTTATCCTGCCATAGCAGGGGCTCTGAGACTGAGTCAGGCAGAGGAGATGCCCAGTTCATCGTCCTCATTTGGAGTTATTTACTCTGCCTATCAGTCAATGCCAAAGGTATGCTACTCTATTACCACAACAGCAAAAAGGTGATATGCCTCCAAGTGAGTATGTCTGAAACTCACAGGTCGGGAGGGGTGAGGCCAAGGCTAGCCCTTGCCCTCTGCAGCAGGACTCCAGCACTGCCCAGTGTCCTCACTATGGAACAAGGCCAAGACCACTCACACCTTAAACTGCTGGGTACAGAGGGACCTCCTGCAGTCAAGTACTTGCCCTGATTTATTCAGGGAATGGTAGTGAAAATGGGCCTTAGTGCAGGGAGCAGGCAGGGCCTACCTCTCGGGCTTCGTATGTGTCAGGAACTGTGATCCAATAGGGCACATCAGGGATGCTGTAGTAAGGCTGGTCCTTATGAATGTCCTGCAAGCACAGCGAGAGTCCTATTCCAACCTGCCTTCCTGCGGTGTCCACACCCAAGCCACTGACCTAGCAGTACACTTGCCACCTTTTCCCGCCAGTGCCCCATCCACCATGGTCTTCCAGACTTGCTGCAGCTTACTGGGAAACATCAGGCAGGATTTAGGCCCCTCCCATGAGCAAATTCACCACGTATAGCCTAAATTAGTCTCAGGCATATCACTGGAGGAGCACCCCATAACACAGGGTGGACAGTGGGGGCGCTGGCCAGCCCAGGTCACCCAGGATACTCACAGCACTCAGCGACAGGGATAGAGTCTGCAGGATGTCCAGCATGGTCTTCAGTACAGTCCCGCTCCAGAGCAAGTGGGGAAACCTATTCCAAAGGCAGGCTCTCAGGGCCCAGGAGTTGAGCCTCCCAGGTGCCTACACTCCCTGGGCGGGAGTGGGGGTGGGGCACCGCCTTCTCCTCCCCCTGCACCAGCACAAGCTATACCTGCTGATGGCTGCTAAAGGTGGTATGCCAGGATACCCTCAGGCAGGCACCAGCCCTCTCCAGGCTTTCCACAGTAAAGTGCACAGTGACTGATCAGAAATGATTCCTAGGCCCAGCAAGTCCCATTCCTCAAGGCCTAACATGCCCCAGGTGGCCTGCTTCAACCCTGATAACAACAGGCTGTCTTGGTTACACTCGCCAGGCCATACCCTCCCCCTCCCCAAAATAATTCTAGTAATTGATCTGGAGAATTATTGGTAATCAACTAGGGTTCCCCAATATTTTTCACATCGTGGCACAAATAAAAATTTTGTGCATGATACTCTAGGGCAGTGATGGTGAACCTTTTAGAGCTCTCAATGATACAAACAGCCTGCTGTGGCACGTGTGCCATAGGTTTGCCACACTGCCCTAGGGTAAAAAGAAAAAGCTCCTAAAAGTAACAGGTGAGGGTTCTGGTGGCCTCAGGGCTGGAGAAGCAGCACTTTTATGCAACTTTAAGGTCATCCATGGCACACTCCTTGAAAGGCTTGGCTCAGACACATGTCCCATATGAGTAAGACTTGTTCTTATTCTTGTGGCTCCTGGCAGGCTTCTGACTTACCCTTGAAGGGTGCAGCTACCTAGACCAGGCATGCTGCATCCATAGCAAGCTCCCAAACCCCTGGACCTTCCAGGAGTTGCAGGCAGGCTTAGTGTGGGTGTATACTACCACTGGCCTGCACATCTCAGAGAGGGTGGACCAGACCATCTCTGAGGGTTCTCATCAGAGTGGGGACATGCCCCAAGAGGGTCTGCTTTGGTTCCTAGCACATGGAGTACAAAAAAGTGCCAGTGTGGGCTTTTGCTCCTGAGAAGCCCATAGTTTACTCACTCTACTTAGGGACTGTTGGCTGGACCCTGGGCTAGGAGATGATGGACTGGATCTTCCCATCATAGATGAGATTTAGAGACAAACAGACATGACTCCTGTCAGCAAGACAGGTACTGTAAAAAATCTCACCAGGCCTATGAACCCAGTACTCAGGAGGCTGAGGCAGAAGGAGTAGCATGAGTTAAAAGCCAGCCTGGACTACATAGTGAGCTCAGGGCTGGCCTGGACTACATATCAAGGCCAAAAATCTCAATAGCTCAGAAAAGACGTTTCTGGAGTAAACTAACTGACATTCTGGGGAAGGCTGCATCATCCTTGAGAGCTTTTGTTCTGAACCCATTGTCTTCTGGACTGATGATATAAGAATGAGTTCCCCTCATTCCAAATCACAAATACTTACACAAAGGCACACAAATATCAGTGGGAAATGGAACTTACTTATCCACCAGACCAGACAGGTACTTGTCGGCCACCCTCCTTGTCCTCTTGTGAATGTGGTTGAAGCTCACCAACAGAAACTGAGCATGTCGCTCTAGCTCCTCTTCATTCTCCTTTGTCTTGGCCTAGATTCAGAAGAGAAGGTAGAATAGTACCCCTGTACGATGCTCTACAGCAGGTGCATGCTTATGCTCTGAAGAGGCTTGCTTTATCTGCCATCATGTTTAGGAAGGCATCGAACACTTTGTCTGCAACAGCAATCACACACTGCATCATCCCTGAAACCAAAAGGTTTCCATGGATCAGGCACAGGCCCGCTGGCATTGAACTCATAGACTCAAGGGATGCTCCCACCTGAGCCTTCCAATAGCTGGGACTACAGGCTTACACTACCACACCTTGCAAATGTTTTCTTTTGAAATGATTCTAGACTTAGAGCCAAGTGCAGAGAAAGCACAGAGTTTCCATGCACTGGCTTTCCTGAATATTAGCATCTGCTACATAGTCAGGCTGAATTTGGATGGACACTAATAGAACTGTTACTTAAATGTCAGGCACTATTTGAACTTCTCGGTTCTCCCATTCATGTTCCTTTTCTGTCAAGAGGATTCAATTCTGGATACCACAAGGCATCTGCTCATCATGTCTCCTTGTTTCTTCTTATCTGTGTTGATTCCTTGGTCTGTCCTTAAACTGCATGACTTTAACACTTTTGAAGATCACGAGTATTTGGGTGTCTGATGCTTGTTCATGCTTAGACAAGACTCTTGGAGGCAATATGCTCTTCTTGTCATATCAGAAAAGGGTCTGTAATATCTATCTTTTATCCCTACTGTTGTTCATCTTGATCACTTGACTATCACCTGACTATTTTTCCCTTTCCACACTAGAACTGAGTCAACAAACTCACACTTGGGGCCTGGGAATTAAGTGCCATCTCCTGAAGAGGATTTGTGGATAAGGCAGTTAAAAATCACCACAATAACTGATGAACATTTAAAGAAAAGTACTTTGAGATCATACAGACATCCCATTCCTCTTTAAAATCTTGGCCACTAATTTTAGCATGCCTCTGTGGATTCTGCCTGAAGTAGTTACTGTGGCTGCCACAGGGATTTCCTATTTCCCCTATCCATTCTACTTTTGTTAACTGGAATTCTGTAAGGAAAGGTTGTACCCTCTTCCTTATTTTTTAGTCAATAATCTAATCAGTATGGACTCATGAGTAGCCATTGTACTTGCTGGGTTATAATAAAATACTACAGCTATTTTATTGTTCAAATCATTCTAGCTGGAGCTCTCAGGTTGGCTCCCGTGTCCTCCTGACATGTCTTTTATTAATTTTCTTTTCTTCTTACCACATCCTTATTTCCTGGTTCAGGCTGAGCATTCCTAATCTGAAAATCTGAAATAGTACCCAAAATAAATGAAATGCTACAAAATCTTAACTTTTTAAGGGCCAACATGGGACTCAAAAAGTTGCAGAGTTAAGCTGATCATGGTGGTGCACACCTGTAAGCCTAGTACTCTGGCAGGCTGAGGCAAAAGGACAGCAGATTTGAGCCCAGCCTGGGCAATTTAGTGACTTAATGAGACCCTTATCTCAAAATTTAAAGAGGGCTGGGAATATAGCTCAGTGCAAAGGCCCTAGGTTCAATGCCCAGTATCACTACCACAAAAAAAAAAAAAAAAAAAAAAAGAATCTTGCAATTTATAGCATGCCAGATGTTGGATTTTTGGATAAGAATGTTCAACCGGTAAAGTCCATACAAATATTCCAAAATACAAAAATTCTGAAATCTGAAACACTTCTGGTTCCAAGCATTTTGGATGAGAAGTACTTAATCTGTTCCACAAAGTATTCCAGGCTCATTTTGTATTTTCCTTGGCCCACCCCTCCCTGGAATTAACCACTTTTCCATGGAGTTCTGGTTCCTGTTATTGGAGAATTTAGAAACCAAGATCTGAGCATGGGATGTACTCACTGTTTCAAGTATGCAAAGCAGGACGTTAAAAAGCAATAGAATGCAGTGAGAATAACAGTATGAATGAAAGAACTGTAAGAAACGCCACTTCAACCTCTTCAACACTGTCCTTTCATCTAGTGCCTTTCAGATGGCTCATCAATAGGCAGAGATTAGGCAAGTATTATCAGCATTGGAACCCAAGCCCAGCACAGAGCCTGAGACACGCAGCCTTTTCATAGCTATTAATTACAAGGAAAGATGGGCACCAACACAGCTCTCACCAATATGGAAAGTGATTAGCGTGTCCTAGACAGATCCCCAAGGGTAGAGACAATTTCTTTTTTCTTCCTTTTGTGGGTGTTTGTAGTACTGAAGAGTGAACCCAGGGCCTCCTCACTAAGTTGCCCAGGAGTGACTCGAACTTGTGATCCTCCTGCCCAAGCTCAGAATTACAGGCGTCAATGCCTCGTTGGACTCATTTTTTTCCTTCCAATCTACCTTCTTTCCCTTCTTCCTTCTTTCCTTCCTTCCTCTCTCCCATTTTTGTCCTGTTTTTTGTTTTGCTTTGTTTGAAATAGTGTCTCACTATGTAGTTCAGGCTGGCCTTGAACTTGTGGTGATCCTCCTGCTTCAGGCTCCTGAGAGCTAGGATCACCTGGCTCCCTTGAGATGAGAGCTTGTTTAGAGATTCTAGCAGAGGACCACATCTATTCATATACCTTGACCAAAGAATAGCCTTCCTCTATCTGGGAAGGTCGTCCTCTTCAACCAAGTGCGCAGCTTCAGGAGAGAAGCGCATGGAGTGGTGAGCGAGGAAGGGGAACCCCACAGAGTCAGCTAGATCAGCCAAATCAACTGTGGTGATCAATGAGGTGACAGACGTCACAGCCAGATCACCCTTGCACCCTTGAGGCTGCCTTAAGAGGCTGAGTTGGGTACATGAAATCTTATTTGAAATGTTTAGTATAATATTTTTTCATATATACAGCTTTATATATGACCAAGGTAAAAAACTAAATCAGTTCCTAACAAATAATCAGATAGTGGTCAGATGCCAATAAATACCACAGAGTAGCATCTAAAGAGATCTTTGCTTTAAAAAAAAAAAGCCATCTTTCTTCTTGGACCTAAAGGTAGCTCCAGATTACTAGTGAACTAACTGTGCAACTGGCAGGCAAGCAGCAAGCTCCTGGCCTTATTTCCAGGAGCCCTCACACGTGCATGAAGGAGGCAGAAGCCCTCTCCTTCAGGGAGCTGCTAAAATGTTTCATATGCCCTGATTCCTAGTTATTTCTAAAAATTCATGAACAGTATGTATCTCTGATGTTGTTTCCTTCCCATCTCTTTTAGGAAAGAAAATAAAGTAAATTCAATACCTGCACCCTTACTGGCTTAACCTAAGGAACATGCTCAGACCCAAAACAAATGGTCAATTTAAAAACAGCACTCAGAAGGCTGAAGCAGGAGTTTGAGGCCAGCCTGGGCTACACAATGAGTTCACTGCCAGCCTATATTACAGAGCGGGACCTTGTCTCAAGCAAACAAACAAACAAACAATTAATTAATAATAAAAATAAAATCACATAGAAGAGGACAGTACACTGAAAAAAATGGAAGAGTGTCTGTGAAGAGCAAATCATTCCAAGTACCATTTGATGTCCTCTGATGACAGCAACAACAACTTGGAGTTCAGAGGGCCAAGTGACAATCCAGTTTCCAAAAGGGATTTGACTCCATCATATTCCCTTGGAAGCTGGCAACATGTGTTAGGTTCTTGGGTCTCTCAGGGGCTGGCAGTTTCAATTTTGTTGTTGTTATTTTTTGTTGGTTTTTGGGGGGTTTTGTTTGTTTGTTTGTTTTTAGAAAAGATCTTGCTAGGTGGTTCAGGCTGGCTTGGAGCTATTTATGTACCCAGGCTGGCCTGGAACTCACAGCGTGATCCTCCTGCTTCAGCCTCCCACATGCTGGAATTACAGGCCTGTACCACCACATCTGCTGCCGCTTATTCTCCCTCCTAGAAACAAAGACTCTCTGAGTGAGCCAATGACATGTCTAGCACAAAACTCAGTACAAAAATTGCCCCATAAATGAGAGCTGGGAGTATGGATGAGAGGAGTAAATCCATGAACAGCAGTTGGCATCTCTCCCCAAAGTGGTCCTAGGACATGTGCATGAGCCTCTGAGCATGCCCCAGACCCCAACCCTACAACCCTCCTAGAAGAGGCCTCTGGCCTCAACAAGTTCCCAATCCTCCCCCACTGCCAGCAGAGGGAGCTTCCAGAATCTTTGCATTGTCCTTCCTGGCCAGCCCAACCCCAACTGGCTCACAGTTGCAGAAATAAATTCATGCACAGAATTTCCTGACTGCTGTGAAGTGCTCTATAAACAATTCCTTATTCAAAAAATACGTCTTACATGAAGCAGCATCTTGGAGTCTCTGAGGTGATGCTTAAATACATTTCTTTAAACACTGACTTTTCACCAGAAAAAAACAGTACTGAGTATCGGGATAATTTCTATACTGGCAGGAATGAGTTGATAAGATTCATCAGTGTGCTACTGGCTTCTGGCATGGAAAAAACTGCTCACTGCTATTTGTACTTACATTAATACTACATTTATTAACCTTAAAAATTTATTGGTCAGCATTCCTCAAAAAATGTACCCAGTCAGTTAATCAAAATTCACGGATTCTACCAAGTTCCCTTGCATGTTTAAACATGATTATAAATTTAATCAAATTATTCTAAGCATTTCATTAAATCATAAGTCTAATATTTCAACACTTATGTTTTTAAAAACAACTTAAAAACCAGGCTCATCACCCTTCCTGAAGGGTGAAAACTAGTAAAGAAGTGCTTATTCTACATGTTTAACTTTTTTCTTTACTGTCCCCATTATACATCTTTTCTTCTGCTGCTGCTGCTTCTTGAAACTTTTGCCAAACTCAATATTAGCTCTTTGTAATTTTTTTAAATGGTGGTATAAATAGCATATAAGAAAACCCATAGATTTTATGTTTTTTTATTTGATGACTTCTACAAAGCTGTACAGACTCATGCAACCACCACCCAAACAAGACACAGAACATTTGCATCAGTCCAGAGAGTTCTTTTGAGCCTCTTTCCAATTTTCACCTCTCTTTATACCTATTCCCCTCTTGGGTTTGTCTCACAAAGGATTTTGTAATATTTTTATGCTTTCCTACAGTTCCTACTATTTTTTGTCTTCCTAGGAATGTGGTCCTTTTGGCTGGAACTTGTGACAGCTGAGGCCCTTGATGCACTCAAGAAGAGTCAGAGGGGATGTTGCACTGCGACATATTCTGAAATGTTCCCAGAAATGATGCAGGCCCTGTTTGGGCAGGGTCCACAGAGCCTGGCCTGGTGTCCTGGCATTCCTGCCAGGCCTGAAGTCTTGCTCAAATGGAAGCTACTCCTAATTAGCATGTGGAAACCCTCATGATAATGGATGTGTCTGCATCCAGCTCTCTTTAACTGGTTATTCTGTTGAACTCTTCTGTCTATCAGCCACTACATGTTCCACCTACTGGCTCAGTCTCGGAACCATTCTCTCTTGTGCTTTGGATCTGGAATGTCCTCTCAAAGTCTCATGTGCTCAGAGGCTGGGCTTGAGGGAGGTGACTGGATTATGGAGGCATTACAGCTGGCTTGCTGTTAAGAGGTGAGGGCTGGTTAGAGGCAGATCACTGGGACATGACCTGGAAGGATGTACCTCCTTCCCCTGCTCCTCCCTTCTATTGCTGCTTCCTGGAAGCCATGATGTGAGCAGCGTTTCCTCTGTTATGTCCTTCTGCTGTGCTGTTCTCTGCCTTAGAGCCAGCTGACCATGGACCCCTCCCCTCCTTTCAGTTGTGGGTATTGGGTACTAACGTGTCTCAGTGATGAGAAAGTGACTAAGACGCCCTCTAATGCTGGTGCTGGGCCTTTTCCTGTCCTGTATGGCTCTTTCCTGGTGTATTTTCTTTCTGCTTAGGTCAAGAGAAACTATATGGCTCCATTTCACAAAGACTTACTGGAAGAAACCAGAATTATATATAAATTTGGCCCTGTATCTGTGGATTCAATACCTATCCTAGCAATCAACCACACAGATCAAAAATACTTGGGAAAAAAATAATGCATTTGTGCCGAACATGTACAGACTTTTTCTTCCTTTTCATGATTCCCTAAATAATACAGTGTAACAACTATTTATATAATTTTATATTGTATTATTAGTAATCTTGAGATAAGGTATATAGGTAATATGCAAATACTATGCCATTCTATATACAGGATTTGAGCATCCTCAGATTTTGTTATTTGTAGGAGGTCCTGAAACCAATATCTCTTGAATACCAAGGAATGATTGATACAGAGAGAAAGAAAGAGAGAGAGACAGAGAGACAGAGAGAGATCGAGAGATCTTTGTGTTCCAGGTATCACCCTTCTCTTTTAATTACCATCTTAGACATTTTATATGAAATTCTGCTTTTTAGAATATCATTTTGAACTCATAGCTTTCCTAATCTAAACTTGCTTTAATCAAGCAAAATTTTAAAAGTACTAATATTTGCATTCAGATTATGATGATTTATCTACTGAGACGTCCTTTAAATTGGCTTCTTGGTTCTCTCAGTCTGATCCTGACATTTAAAAAGCACAGTCTACGGCCATACCACTCTGAACATGTCCAACCTTGTCTAAAAAGCACAAACCCTCTCTAGCAAAACCAAGATGCTCCAGGTCCATTAATGGCCATCTGAGGAGCTCTGACTCCCTTCAGCAAAGGATAGTATTAGGGATCAACGTCTGGATAATGAAACACACCTGAACATAGGTGGGAGGCTCCTTCTGCGTTGGGGCTCCTTGAAGAAATGGCACAGCCAGAAATACTTACGTATACACGTATTTATTTTTTAATTTTTATTTTCAGTACTGAGGATTGATCAGAGAAAGTGCTGAGCTACAGCCCCAGCCCTTTTTTCTGCTCCTGTTACTTTGAAACAGGGTCTTGTTAAGTTGCCCAAATTGCCCTCAAACTTACAATCCTTCTGCCTCAGCCTTCCAAGTAGCTGGGATTACAAGTATGTGCCATCTTGCTTGGCTAGAAGATATATTTTTCTGCTTTATGCTGACTTTCCAATGTGCGATGTAACTTCATAAAACTATTTTCTCCATTTGGACAGATAATATCAAGTATCACTCCTTTTTATTCTATTAAATCAATTCATCATGAAAGTACCAGAATAACAAACTTACCAGATTTGTCTTTCTGAATAGCTTTATCCTCAAAGTAGCAGAACACTACCTGGAATCAATCAGGTCTGTTGAACACAGTACCCTAATAAGGAGAACAGCTTTAAATAATTTTGAGGTCGCCCCTATTAGATGACACTGCTCAGAACTGGTACAGCTATGAGGAACAGTCACCACCTGCCATTCATAAGGAACTTGGACTTCTGGGGGGGTGGTGATGTGTACTATCTATCCTAACATTCCCATATTTTTCAACCCAGGAACCCCACATCTCAAGGGTTATGTGCTTAAGGATTCTTATTAACAGCGCTGACTGCATTACCCAAAATGGAAATAATCAGAATGCCTACTAACAGAAAAATGGTAAGCTATATCAAAGCACAGCCATTCAAGGACATATCACATAGCCACTAAATCAAGAGGCAGCCCTGTATGTGCTGTTACAGAAAAACATCCAAGAGATATGACTAAGTGAGGAAAGAAAATACAGGGCAAACAGGCACAGTAGGGTCCCAGTGATAGGTTTCCTAAAGGCCTATCTGTGCTTTTGTATTTGTCAGATATAGGTTTGCCTATGCACAGAAAATTTGTAGAGGAGAAAATGAGACAATCCAGAGGGTACAGGAATGACGGGCTGACAAAAAGCTGGGAAAGTGAGGCCTATATTCCTTTGCCTTTAGATTCTTCTGTACCACTCATTGGTTTCATTTTCCTCTTTTCGATTCTGTGCAGCACAGACTTTTTATAGTAAAATACGTCATGGGGGATGGATATGAACAAAACATACACATTGAAATCCCCCTCAAAAAATGTGACAGTAGGAAGGAATGGCAGAGCAAGAGGGTGATGGGAAAGTGTGAAAAACAATCAACATATGTTATGTGCATGTATGAATCTACAAAAATGAAACTCACTAACCTGTATAACCAATTAAAAAAGTAAAAAAAAAGTTTAAAAGATCCAGATATAGTTTTCACAATAAAATATAATTACTAATAAAATATTTTCATGCATGCAGATTACCAGGTAGGCATGATAAAGCAAAGGAAAAAAATATATATATATATTTAACTTTCAGGGAAAAGGAAGAAAAAAAAACATTCATGTGCTTGTCCCTCAGCTGTTTAGGGAGCCATTCAGAGTTCTGGAAGCTCCCCACAAAAGCAGGGGCTCAGAGTACAAGTCCATGGCCTCCACACTAGCCTCTCAAGCAGTTTCCTCCATGGGGTGCTCCTGGGGTTTAAGCCTGTATTCTTGGGTGCTCACATGCACATGGCTTTAACTTGACTTTTCACATCTTCCCTTGTGTCGTTTTAAAATTATCCCCAATACCAATGTTTGGGAATCTTAGCCAAGTTCTTGAATAAAGGCCTCAGGGTTCCTTCTCTATGCTAGGATAGGACTCTCAGGGACTCCCAATAGCCCAGGGCCCTGAAAACCTGAAAACACTTGGGCACACTTGCAAGAGGATAGGAGACAGCTCTTCTAGTCATACACACAAGCATTAAAGCTGCTAGTGTTTTTGTTTTGCTTATTTTGTTTTGGCCTGTTTGTCTTTGAAAATATATCCGGGGTGGGGGCTAGAAGGAACCATATTAACATTCTACAGGGGATGGTGGTGACATCAGTAATTTTTTTCCCTCCAGTTATCTGGCTGCTTCTTATGGCTTTCATTTATAAGAGGCAGCATACTTATGAGATCTCTTTGGTTTAATTTCACATCAGAGATTACAATCTTGAGCCATTTACTTAAGTTCTGTCTCAGTTCCCTCATCTGTAAAATGGGCATATAATAGTTCCAATCTCATAGGCTTATTGGAGAGGGTTGTAAACTTGGCCCAATACCGGGCACAGCAGAGGCACTCAATTCATGTCAGCTATGGCTGTTATCATGACAGCAATTATAGGTCACAGTAGTCATAGTGGTTAGGGCTGCTGTGGTGACAGCTATATCCTGAGCATCAGACCATCAGTAGCACTATTTTGGCGCCTGATTCATCCTACATCACATTACCTATTTGTATTCAGATGTGGTCCTGGAAACCAGCTCAGTCAATGTCCTGGTACCTTTCTCAGTGAGGGCTGCTCCCCAGAGGAACTTCCATCCAGTCCATGGACTGAGTTTGTACTGTCAATTAAGACTTCTCAGAAGCCCCCTTCCTATGGAAGATAGGACCATAATGGAGTTTGAATGTGGGCTGTGTTATTAGACATAGCATCTGGGCCACATGAAGGAGGGCCACATGAGAAAAGCAAAGGCTATTTTTGTTAGTTTTTCTTTGTTAGCTTTTTTTTTTTTCTTTTTTGGTTTTTTGAGACAGGGTCTCACTATGAAGTTCAAGATGGCCTTGGACTCATTATGTAGCCCAGGTTGGCCTTGAACTCACAGCAATCCGATCCTCCTACTTCTACCTGCCAAGTCCTGGGATTACAGGCATGTGCCACTATGCCCAGCCTATTCGTATGATTTTTCCCATGTGTAGAATGGCACAAAAATGTAAAACTGCGCTCAAACACAGATGTGCAGGAGGTAAAGGCTTGTGTACCTCATGTATTCCAGCCGGTACATGGACAACAAGTATGTTGGCATGGCAAAGTCCAGCTTGTCGATAAGAGCAGACACTTCAGGAGGAGGGTCCAGCAGGTTGATGATTGTGCTTCGAAGCTCACTCAGCTCGGCCTGGAGAGAAAGAAACATTCACAGACTCATGAGGGCCCCTTCCCAGGAGAAAGGAGCCCCAGAGGACGACGTGTACATAAGAACACTGAAAGGATCTGCGCTGATCATTACAGAAAGTTTAGCAAAAGCGAGAAGAGAATCCTTACAGGGGTGACTGTATCATTTTTCATGGCTGAGTTGTCCTGGAGGAGTGACCGCAGAGGCTCTTTGCTGGGAAAGGTGAGCAGAGGAGACTTGGTGGCTATTTCACAGACCTCCTCATACCATTCTTCTGGCCAGAGTCCTTCAAGAGAGAATGTAACTCAGACATGGGTGAGGGATTCAACCCAATGATAAAATGCTTGACCAGCAGTGTGAGTTCCTAGGTTCAGGCACCAAAAGAGAGAGAAAGTCCTAGGTCCTTTGTTTGGCACAGGTATCCTAAAAGCCAAGTGTGGTAGCACATGCCTATGACCCCGGGACTCTGGGAGGTTGAGGTAGGAGAACTGCAAGTTCAAGCTCATCCTGGGCAACTTAGCAATTTAGTGAGATTCTGTCTCAAATTTTAAGGGGGGGGGCGGCGGTGCCTGGGTTCCCAGTTCCCACTATAATGTGTCACTCTTAGGGCCCACAATATTTTCTTTGAGTGTACACTTTTAGTGCTGTCTAAAGAATCCTTTTATACCTCTTAAAACCCTAAGCTCTCTATGGGAAGTGTGATGTCTAAAAATACTTGCAGGAAGAAACAGCTGCATTTGGACTCATTTTGAATGTGCTCACACTCATAATTAGGATGAGCCCCACCTCACCTTTGTTTCCCCTCTCCACTCTGTCTTCCCTGGGAGAGATCAGCCCCCTACCTGAGACCTCCACAGCAAATCCCATCAGTACAGAGTATAGCCAGAAGTCCCGGAAGAGCTTCTGTAACTGAGGCTTAGCTTCCTTGATGGGTGGCAACCGTCTAGTGAGCTGATACGCCAAGGAGAGAGAACAGAAGTTATTTTGCTCACAAAACCCTAATACAAGAACTTAATGTAGACTCAAGCACAGACTCATTCTCCAAGAGCATTCTCAGATACTCAGCCAGTCAGGGCGGGTAGGAAAAAGCACACTGAGCAGTGGCTAATGCCTCTCAATAATTTCATCAATTCTAGCTCTTGCATTCATTCATTTATTATCTAGTGCAACAGGGACTGTGACTGGAAATTAAAAGCCCTGTTCTCATTCTCTATGGGTTTTTTGTTCAGTTGAGAGACAGGTGGACAAACACTCATAGTGGGGTAGAGTTCCCAGAGAAGCTGTTATGGGTCTTAAGAGTAAAACTTAGCCAGGAAGAAAAGAGAAAACAGCCTGTTGAAAGCCTGGGACTAGGAGGGCATGGAGTATTTAATAAGCAGGGGGCCAGTGCCAAAAGGAAGGAATGTGACTAGAGTGGCTAGAGAAATCTTGTGCATGGAGCACAAGAAGTGGCTTTGAAAAATCTCTTTCAGCAGTACAACTTTTTCAAAAAGTAATCTTGGGGAGGCAGGGATTTAGCTCAGTGGTTCTGCCGCCTGCCTCTCAAGCACAAGGTCCCGAGTTCGATCCCTGGTACCAAAAAAAAAGTAATCTTGGGCAGAGTCTCAATATGGCAAACAGGTAAAAGCAGGGTTGCTTGGGTGCAGGTGTGAGGAGTGAAGTTTCCCTGCACCCTTGCTTGAGACCGTGCCCACCTGGCATGAGGCACAGCATGTCATCATCAGTTATGTAAAATGGTTAAGTTTGTGCAAAACACCCACTTGGACACCTCAGTCCTTACAGCACCTCCAGGACACTGAACCTCTAGATAGTAATGCAGTGCAGTGGGCACTGCTACCCAAACACTCACAAGCACCAAATCTGAGCCAGGCCCGAGGCCAAGGACTCGGAGTGAGGATAAATGATGATACTCATTGCTGGGACACAGTCACACAATGGAAGAGCTATAGATTAGCAAAACACTTCCTGGAAAAGGACTTGGTAATATGCATCAAATATTCTAAATGTTTCCAAAAACATTGCACCCCAAATCACATCTCTAGGAATCTATCAAACAATAAGTTAACCAAGTATAGTGGCACATGCCTGAAATCCTTTAGGAGGCTGAGGCAGGAGGGTCAAAGCCAGCCTGAACAACTTACTAGACCTAGTCTCAAAATATAAATAAAAAAGTTCTGGGACATATAGGTATATATGGTGGTACACAACTGTTAATACCAGTACTCTGGGAGGCTGAGGCAAGAGGATCATAAACTGAAGCCCAGCCTGGGCAACTTAGTGACTCAGCAAGAACCTGTCTCAAAATAAAACACAGAAAAGGGGTGCGGATATAGCTCAGTAGTAGAGCACTTGCTTAGCATGTGTGAGGCCCTGGGTTCAA